GAAATTTCAACCCAAAGGATAATTTTAAAAGAGGTGTCATGGCTGAAAAATTAATCCATCAGTAATAAGAGCATTGATTTCAGGACATAACAGTTAGCCAGTACCCTTTAAATTACTTTGTCCAGGGAAAAGTCACACATGACTGATTCCCAGGCTTTGATTTAATGAAGGTGGTGAACTGAGTATAACAACAAACTAATGCTGTTCATCTTTATTTTTCAAAGCATCTGCTCTAATTGCAGGGCAGAAATAGATGAAATTAGAGGAAAGTAATTGAAGATCATTTCTCTCATTTACCTTGTTACCCTAAGGTTGTACATGTGGAGAGAGACATGGAGAATACAGGTGATTACCTGAGTATTTTAGGAAAGAATCCCTGCTATTGAGGGGTAGTGAGAAGGGAAAGCCTTTAGTCAATTTAGATAGACTATTTTATATTGGTCCAACTATAGTGGAAGTTCACTAATTAAGCCTAATTTGGGCAATGGTCATACTTAATTCTAAAATATTTTTAAAGAGATATAGTTTAATTATTATTAGCAGATACAGAAACCTGAAATAAAAAGATGTTTAAAAGGTCTATGTACATGAATAAGAACGACAAGCCAGATATTCCATTTATAAAGTACCTGTATCATAAAGAGAGGGCAGCTAGGTGGTGCAGCGGATAGAGTGTCAGGCCTGGAGTTAGGAAGACAAGTTTAAATCCAGATTCAGAAACTTCCTAGCTGAGTGACCCTTGGCAAGTTTCTTGAACCTTATTTGCCTCAGTTTCCTCATCTGTAAAATGAGCTAGAGAAGGAAATGGTGAACCACTCCAGTATCTTTGTCAAGAAATCTCCAAATAGGATCACAAAGAGTCAGACATGACTGAAAACAACTAAACAACAATAAAAGCGTCAAGAGATCTATACTTTGGGTGGATTTACTGTGGAAGAATTATGGGAGGTCATTAATAAGAGTCATACAGAAGGAGAAAGTATGTATGACTTGAGTTGCAATCCACGCTACTAGACAGAATACTCAAAGTATCAAGGGTTTTCAAAGGAGATACTTTCAAAACTTGAAAAGTTTATGCTCATTCAGACTTTCAAAAGTCACATAAAATACTAGTGGTTGGAAAAGACAGAAAGATAAATAATAATTATTTATCCCCCTCAAGAACTTACAACCAATAGGGGATGACAGGACACAGATAAATATAATATAAATTAGAATTTGTTAAATATATTAGTTCTATGAAGTCACATCAGGGAGAAATCCCTTTCAGCAGAGAAGAATCAGGAGAGGCTTTGTGGAGGAGGTTGCATCTGAGCTGATATCAGGAACATAAGGGAAATGAGGGAAGGACATTCTAAGTGTAAGGCATGAATGAACAGCCTGAGCAAAGACAGAGGTAGGGAAGCATGATTTGTGCTCAAGGGATGGGAAATCATTCTCTAAACAACTTCATAGACTCATGAAAAGGTGCCGTAATATTTAGCTGATGTTTTAGTTAGTAAGATGAGGAAAGTGCTTCGTAAGCCATAAAGTACCACTGTAAGTGAGTTATTATTGCTAGTATTACTCTTCCACTCATGTTAAAAAGGACTGGCATATTCCAAACTGAGACTTGTTCTATGTTTGGCAATAAGTTAGAAATATTGTGTTCTGTGTAGAGGTTACAAAATTCTAGCTACTTAAGTGAAGACCAGCTGTGCATAGCAAAAAGCAAAATAGAGAATGATGTTATGCTCTGAAATTGTGTTCCAGACCCAGATAATTTAGTTCTTGAATTGATTTATTTTAATACTCCAACACCCATATTGGCAATCTCATATTGTGCAAATTCACTGGATAATTGCCAATCCTCCACTCCACTTAGTGCTAGATAGATTGAGCCTGACAAAAGGCCAGGATTATTTGGGAATGAAATCAAATGGTAATTGTACAGTTTCACAAGATGATTCTTTTACCTGATCCCCAACTGAAGACAAAGAAATGGACAGTATTTTAGCTTCAAGCCTCCTCGATCTAATTTTAGGTATTTGTTCCTTGGTTCAGTGAATTAGATTCCTTCCTCATGGTTCACTGAATGGGGATTTCCACTAAAACTGTAGCCTAGGAAATGTTTTAGAAGGTGCTAGAGATACCTGGACTGACAAAGATGCACAATTTTAAAAGCTAACCCCTTCCCTCATTTTACTTTTGGTGAAACTTATCTCAAATCCATCATCTATGTGGCGCTGGGAAAGTCAACTCGTTCTCTAAGCTTCAGTTTCCCTATCTGAAGATGAAGGGATTGGCTCATACTGGCTACCATGGGCATAAAGTGTCTCTTAACCACTTTATAGGGTATCTGGAACCAAATCTCTGTGACTGTAAGTTGCAAAGCAAGTACTTATTTACATTTATACCTCATGTCCTGACTGATGCTAGCTTCACGTCTCCTGCTACATCTAGGTCCAACTCCAGACATCTGAACTATAAAGCCTGGAGTACTTGAAACTTTCACCTCTGGAACTCACACTCTGTGACCTCATTGTCTTGAATGGTGATTTCTGCACCTGGTCTACTATAGAGTCATCAAACTTTAAGCCTGCAGGCCCCAGTGACCAGCAAAACTTCTGAATGGCAAAAATATAGAGAACTGAGTCAAATGCATAAGAACACAAGCCATTCCTCAATTGACAAATAGTCAAAGAATATGAACAGTTTTCAGATGAAGAAATCAAACTATCTATAGTCACATGAAGAAGTGCTCTAAGTTACTTTTGATTAGAGAAATGCACATTAAAACAAGTTTGAGGTACCACCTCACACATGTTAGATTGGCTAATATGATAAAAAAAAAAGTGAAATGATAAATGTCAGAGAAGATGTGGGAAAATTGGGACGCTAATGTACTATTGGTGGAGTTGTGAACTGACCCAATTATTCTGGAGAGCAATTTGGAACTATGCCCAAAGGACAACCAAACTCTGTATACCATTTGCTCTAGCAATACCACTACTAGGTCTATGTCCCCAAAGAGATCATAAAAAAGGGAAAACAACCTACATGCACAAAAATATTTACAGCAGCCCTTTTCATGGTGGCAAAATATTGGAAATTGAAGGAATGCCCATCAATTGGGGAATGGCTGAACATGTAATGGAATACTATTGTACAGTAAGAAATGATGAGCTAGCACATTTCAGAAAAACCTGGAAAGACTTACATGAACTGATGCAAAGCAAAATGAGCAAAACCAGGAAAACATTGTACACAATAACAGCAACATTTTATGAAGATCAACTATAAATGGCTTAGCTCTTCTAAGTAATACAATGATCCAAGACAATTACAAAGGACTCATGATGGAAAATGCTATTCACATCCAGAAAAAGAACTGATGGACTCTGAATGCAGATTGAAGTATTCTTTTTTCACTTACTTTATTTCTTTCATGGTTTTTTTTTCCTTCTGTTTCTTCATTCACAACTGTGACTAACATAGAAATATGTTTTACATTATTTCACATATGTAACTTACAACAAATTGCTTACCATTTTAGGAAGAGGAGAGAGAAAGGAAGGAGGGAGAAAAATTTGGAACTCAAAATCTTGTACAAATGAATGATAAAAATTGCCTTTACATTTAATTTGTAATTCATGATTTATATGTCTTTACATATAGATTTTAAATACTATTAAAAAAATCTTCTCAGTGGGCCAGAATCGGATTTAAATGTAATTGGGAAATGTTTAACAAAATGAATAAAAATATAACATAGAAAATGTTAATTTGTGGTTTTCTAAGTAAATGTACAGCCCACAGGGATTCATTCCTACTTGAGTTTGACACCCCTGGACTACCACATCTATTCCCTCACCCATCTACAGTTCAGTCACCTGACATCTTGCCACCATGAATTTGTTCTCCTGTCCCAACCATCCACCACAATTCCAGCTCTGGATCCATAACCAAATCTAATCTTCCATTGATTCTGGTAAGAGTGGGTTAATTTACTCCCCTAGGGATCCCCTCCCCGGCCACCACTTATAGCAAAAGTTCTCTCTCTCTCTGTTAGGATATAAATTCCTTGAGGGTTTTTGGTTTTGTACTTTTATCCCCAGGCTTAGAAAAGTGCCCCACATGTAGGACTATGGGACATGCTAACTTTTTTTTTTTTTAATGAATGCTTTTGTCATTCCTTAGCAAGAGGGAAATTTCTTTATTGTGAGCTCCCCAGACTGGTGGTATCAAACTCAAAGAGAAATGGGGGCCACTAAGTCCTCCTAAGGATCCCTGGGGACTATATATTAATTTAGAAAACCACATATTAACATTATATTTTATTATACTTCCATTTATTTTGCTGACTATTTCCCAATTACATTTTAATCTGGTTCTGACTGGTTGTGGACCACATGCAGCCTGTGGGGCTATGTGTTTGACACCTCTAGACCAATGAAATAACAGGTCCAGGAAAAAAAGGGGGGGGCCTTGAGTAAATAATCTCCAAAGTTCTAGTTCTAATTTTATAATCCTATATAATATAGCCTACAATCCGTTGTTTCCATGAGTCATCTGTCTAACTCCTCACCCAAACTCCTTTCCTATGTCTTCAACTGTCTACTAAAGGGTTCCACAGGGTGTATGGGGTATCCAGGGAGGGCTAGATCTTCCCCTGTGAGGGCTTGCTGAGCCTTTTTCAAGACTTCTCATCCACCTTCAGTGTCCACCTGTCACCAACCTCTCACCTGCGGCTCCAAGAAGCGGTAGCATGCACAGTGGCCACACCCCAGTAAAACAGTGTCAAACAGGTTAAAGGTAACTGATGGGCCTCAAACCTGTTGATGAGTTAGGGGGATGTCTAAGCATGTGAAAACTTCCTCCTGGTAAAATGGCAGATGAGAAGAATTTGTTCCAATGGTCATCAAGGCAGCTGAAGCAGGAGCTGTGGAGCTCTTAGAGCTTGGTTAGACATTGAAGACACCAAGGTCATCCATTGCATCTTGGGGCCATAGCCACTCATCCTGACTTTTGTCTTGCCACTGGACTTTGTCGACTCTGGAAGGGAGATTGAGGCTGATGACGTCATGCAACTCTGCCTCACTTAAATCCAATTCACCCAAGAGTCAAGACATCATCCCATGATGTCACTGATCCTTTTAGAAATGAAGGACAAACCGCAAAGGTTTCCTCTCACATCCTCTGCTGTCACATCAAACTCAACACGCCCCAAGCTCCTCATGTCCCTCCCCTGACAAGCTTCTTTCCTGTCAGAGATATAACCATTCTCCTAATTATCTAGACATAAAATCCTTAAGTGATTGATCATTCATTCTTCCATTCCTTTAAGACATGCACCTAAGTCCCATTTGATTCATCCTAGCTCCATATTTACTGCTACTCCTCTAGTCCAGGCTTTCTTTCAGTCTTAATAATTGTAATAGTCTCCTAACTGCTTGTTATCTCTCCATTCTAAATCATCCCATCTACTAATGGTTCTGATAGTCAGGGTCAAGCTAGGTCTGCTGCACATACTACATGTGCTACAAAATTGTAGATATTGTATTACTACAGATAAAATAAAATTTGTGAATAATTTCATTTAATATAAATTTTACTTACTAAATATGCATGCTATGGTAAATATAGTAGTGGGAAAATCAACAAAACTTGCCTCAAAACCTATGAGACCTGAAAAGAAAAATAAAGTTATTGAAGGTTGACTATACATGTGCGGGTCTCTCATACCACTAACTTAAACATTATGTGCCACAATTCTTCACTGAATATCGTTCCATGAGCAAAATTTAAAAAAAAAATTAAGCCACTTCAGAATGAATCACAAAATAATCTTCCTGTACACAATAACAACCATGTTGTGTGATGACTAATATTGATAAACTTAACCTTTCTCAGCAATACAAGGATCTAAGAGGGCCTTAGAGGCCTCTTGATGGAAAATACTATCCACAAAGAAGAAAGAACTATGGAGTTTGAATGCAGATCAAAGCATGCTATTTGCTATTTTTTTTCTTCCATTGAGTTTCGTTTCCTCTTTCTGGTGGTTCCTCCTATTGGTTCTAATTCTTACTTACAACATCACTAATATGAAAATATGTTTAATAGGAATATATATGTATAGCCTATGCATGGGAGGTGGGGAGGAGGGGGAGAAAAAAAATGAAACTCAATAGCTTAACAAAGTGATTGTTGATAATTGAAAATAAATTAATTAAAAAAATGCTTTAAAAAATTTCCCTGAAATCCACTTAAGATCATGATAACCCTTCTCAATAACCTTCTACGGCTGAATTCCACATAGCTTGGCATTCAAAGTCCTCCACAATCTGTCCCTACACTGCCTTTTCCAATTTATTTTGCCTACTTTTTTTGTAATCAATGAAATTTATAACAAAAAATATATATTACCATGTACTTAGCCACTGTATTATATCCAAGGAGCGTTTTCCTCTGACTTCCAGATGAAACCACCTACATATGTTGCCTCACCAAATCTTCTTAAAAATTTTTTTAGTGCTGCATACAATTCTGACTTAAAATTTGCCTTCTAGACTTTCTGTGCAAGTCTGTAGTAGAAAAAAATAACCATTTTCCATTATTTAGTCAGTTTTATTTCTCAAAACACACACACACACACACACACACACATATATATATATATATATATATATATATATATATATATATATATATTTATCTCATTTTATTCAAGAGGCTTTGTTCGTTTTTTGTATGTATTAGACTCCCCTTACCATACAGTATTATTCTGATGGCTAGGTGATCATGGCTTCTCAAAGGCTATGTCGGTGAACCTTGGTAAGTCCTTTTAAGTTAGAAAAGCTTTAAAAACAAGCCTGGGAAAAGACTGTGTGTCTTTCATCCAAGAAAGAGATAAAGTTCAAAGACATTGAGTATCAGAAGCTTGGCCACTAGAGGAGGAGAGGTAGTTTGTTTTTTGGCAACAATAATTCATAATACCGTCCACTAAGGTATGGAGGATGCTATGAATTTCATTTTATACCCATGAAATTGAGATCCTTAGAGTATGGCAGGGTTAGCTTCCTAGAGGTCAGAATCTATTGCCAGTAAATATCTAAATTATCAATGGATGTTACCTTTTTTAGTCCTTTGATAAAAGAAAACAATGCAGCTGACCCACATCCAAAGTGTTCATTTGGAAAAGTTGCCACAGTAGAAATCTACTCTCATTGTAAATTACAGCAACAAAAAACAGAGATTGCAAGCCTAAACAGAAGCCTTTTTTTATGTCACATTAATACCCTCCTTTGGATTGACCTAAGCTGGATTTCCTTGTTTTATTTTTCCCCATATGAAATCTAGAACATGATAGGGATCTGGACTTTTTTTTTCCATTTTGGTTTCATTTAGGATGTAGTGAAGCAGTAGGCAATCAATGCATTTAAGCTTTAGGTTAACACACTCCACATATGAGGCCCTGTTAGAAGAAGGGAGGCTTTCTACAGAGCAAAAGACCATCAGGACAACTTTACTGGCCAAGAGCTATCGTATAGGCTCATATTAAAGTCCAGAGCTAGTCCAAAACTAAGAACCCTTGACAACTCTGAGTTAGAGATTGGAGCTCTATGATGTCTGTTTAATTTAACAATTTAAAAAATAATTTCCAACAGAATCTTAAGTAACATATGGTCCTTACTCTATCCACTGGGAAGCACCTGTCCCCTTTCCTTCTCCCCTCCTCCCCCCACTGCAGCCAACATCCTGGCAACTGAAATATATAAATAGAGCAGAGGCAGTATATTGTAATGGAAAGAGCACTGTCTCTGAAGTCAAAGATGCTGGGTTTGAAACTTGTCTGTGATGTTTACTACCCTGTGTGTCTTCCCCTACCAGTCTGAATTTTTTTTTATTAACTCACTTTTTTTTTTTGACTCACTTCTTAAAGAGGGCTATTCACTGAATGGGTGTTGCCTCCCTCAAAGTGAGAACCTGAAAAGACCTTAGCTTAAAAGGGCCAAGGTCTCCCACTGCATCCTGGGCCATCTCCAGTCACCCTAATTAATATCTGGCCACTGGACCCAGATGGCTCTAGAGGAGAAAGTGAGACTGGTGACTTTGCATAGCCCTCCCTCACTCAAATCAAAGTCAATTGCAAGTCATGTCATCATCTCCCTGATGTCATGGTCCTCGTCAACAACAAAGGAGAGGGGCAGCTAGGTGGTGCAGTGGATAGAGCACTGGCCCTGAAATCAGGAGGACCTGAGCTCAAATCTGGCCTCACTTGACACTTACTAGCTGTGTGACCCCAATCGCCTAAAAAATAAAATAAAAATAAGAACAAAGGACAAACCACACACAACCACAACTATGTATATGACCCTGGAAGCAGATTACCTCTGCCTTAGTTTTCTCATCTGTAAAATGGAGTTTAACTAGATGGCCTTTCTTTTCTAGCAGATTCTCTCCATCTGTCTCTCTGTCTCTGTCTTTCTCTCTCTCCATCTCCCTCCCTCCCTCCCTTCCTCTCTGTGTATCATTTACAGATTTTCCCCTGCTTCCTATAAACACTTGTAAACTCTTACCCCTTCATAAAACCCTTACTGGACTCCATCATCCCTATTAACTATCCCTTCCTCAGATAAACTCCTTGAAAAGTCATCTACCTAACTATTTCCTCTCCTCTCGCTCTAGTCTTAATTCTCCAATCTGGCTTCCAGCCTTATCCTAGGAAGTTAGGTAGTACTGGGCCTGGAGTCAGGAAGACCTGATTTCATATCTGGTTCTAGGTCCTTACTAGCTGTGTGACCCTGGGTAAGTCACTTAACCTCTTTTTGCCTCATTTCCTCATCTGCAAAATGGCAATAATAATAGCATTTACCGCCCAGGGTTGTTGTGAGAATTAAATGAAATAATAACTGCAAGGCCTTAGCATACTGCCTGGCACACAGCAAGCACTATATAAATGTTAGCTGTTATTAAGTATTATTATTATTATTAGCTATCACTCTCCAAAGTCACAAATGCTCTTATACACAAATTTATTGCACAAATTTATAAATAGTATTTTATTATTTCCAATTACATGTAAGGATAGTTTTCAGCACTCATTTATTATAATATTTTGAGTTCCAAATTTTTTCTTCTCCCCTCCTCCCCTCTCCAAGATGGCAAGCAATCCAATAAAGGTTACGCATGTGCAACCATGTCAAATATATTTCCACATTAGTCATGTTATAAAAGAAGAAATAGGGCAAAAAGGAAAATCATGAGACAGAAAAAAAGTGAAAATAGTATGTTTCAATGTGCATTCAGACTCCATAGGTTTTTCTCTGCACGTGGATAGCATTTTCCATCATGAGTCTTTTAGAATTGTCTTAGATCATTGTATTGCTGAGAACTAAGTCTACCAAAGTTGACCATCGCACAATGTTGCTGTTACTGTGTACAATGTTCTCCTGGTTCTGCTCACTTCACTCAGCATCAGTTCATGCAAATCTTTCCAGGTTTTTCTGAAATCCACCTGCTCATCACTTCTTATGGAACAATAGTGTTCTATTACATTCGTATACCACAACTTGTTCAGCCATTCCCCAATGGATGACCATCCCCTCAATTTCCAATTCTTTGCCACCACAAAAAGAACTGCTATAAATGTTTTTGTACACGTAGGTCCTTTTCCCTTTTTCATGATTTCTTTGAGATACAGACCTAACAATGGCATTGCTGGATGAAAGAGTATGTAGTTTGGCTGCCCTTTGGGAATAGTTCCTATTGCTCTTCAGAATGGTCAGATCAGTTCAAAACTCCCTCATCATTCTAACTGCAAATTTAAAGCCTGTGCCTCTATCCTCATCTTTCACAAGGCTTTGGTTTTTGATAATCCCAATCACCTTCTCTTGGATATCCTCCCTGAGTTTTTGTGACACCAGTGGTTCATCTCTGATCTGTATTCTCAGACTCATTTGGAGAGTCTTTCTCCATGTTACATCCCCTAATTGTGAATATATCCCAAGGCTCTGTCCTCTTGTCTCTTCTTTCTGTTCTATCTCACTCAGTCATTCATTGCTCCCATAGCTTCACTATCTCCATGTATATAACTCCCAGATCTATAGCTAGAATGAGTCTGTCTCCTGAGGATTAGTCTTGCTCCACCAACTATGTATTCAACGGATCACTCTGGAGGGCCTCTAAACATCTCAAATTCAACTTGTCTGAAACTGAACTCATTATCTGAGGGAAAACCCTCAGACCTGCCTCATTCCCAAACTTAACTTTTACCATTAGTAGACCACTATCTTCCCAGTCATCTAGATTTGCAACCTCCTCACTCTTACCAAATATTGCCTTTTTTTTTTTTTTTTGGCCAGGCAATGGGGTTAAGTGATGGGGTTAAGTGATTTGCCCAGGTTCACAGAGCCAGTAAGTGTCAAGTGTCTGAGGCCAGCTTCGAAGTCCTCCCGACTCCAGGGCTGGTAAATCTTGCTTTTTCTAACCCGAAACATCCCTCATATACATTCTTTTTTTCTCCATTCTCACAGTGGTCTTTTTAATACAGGTTTTCATTACCCCTCCCCTGGACTATTACAATAGCCACCTATTTGGCCTCCCTGCCTGGAGATTCTCCCCACTCCAGTCCATCTTCCACCCAACCTCCCAAGTATTTTTCCTGAAGTGTAGGCGTCATTATGTCACCTATTTGGCCAACAACATCTAGTGACTTGCCTGTAGAATAAAATGTAAACTCCCTTGTTATTTAAATGTCTCCACAACTCGACCCTTTTTTACCTTACTAGTCTTACACTTTCATTCCCTTACACTTACTCCCTTCTCACATTCTACAGACCACAGGGAACCAGCCCCTATTCTGCACAGAGCACATGACGTCTCTCCTTTCTGTGCCTCTGTACTGGCTGACCACACTGCCTGGCATTCACTCCCTCTCACTCCCACCTCCTGTAATGCCTCGTTTTCTTGGAGACTCAGCTGAAGTGCCACCTTCTTCATGAAGCCTCTCTTGATCCTCCCCAGCTGCTAGTGCCTGCCTCCCATAATCACTTTATATTAATTGTGTATATACATATATGTATAAATATGTATATGTGTGTATAATTCATGTATACATATGTATTCACACACACACACACACACACACACACTACATAGTTGTTTGACCTCCCCTATTAGACAATAAACTTCTTAAGAGTAAAGGGCAGAGGGGGAAGCTAGGTGGTGCAGTGGATAGAGGACAGGCCCTGAACTCAGGAGGACCTGAGTTCAAATCTGGCCTCAGACCAAACACTTGACACTTACTAGCTAGCTGTGTGACCCTGGGCAAGTCACTTAACTCCAACTGCCTAAAAAGAAAAAAAGAAGAAGAAGAAGAAGGGTAAAGGGCAGGGGTAATTCTGCTTTTATCTTCTTTTTTGAACTCTTGTATTAACATAGTACTTGGCACACAGCAAGAATTTAATAAATGCTTGTTGACTGAATAATTGATTATGATTTATGAATGGGGAGGTAAAAAGATTGGAAGCTTCAGTAGCACAGATAGTACCCTAAGTTAGCAGTGGAATTGAACTC